CGTTGCAGGACTTGTAGGATCGCAGTTTGAGTGTTCTCTGCGTTCTCAGCCATTGTTCTTGCACAAACAAACACACAAATCAAAATAACAAGAATAAAATCAAATCAACAGCGTTACCTTGCGTGTGGCCTTGAACCGGGCTCTGATACCAAAAATGATACACGCACGGTTCTCTAATGGAGCAAGGCTCGGGATAGATTGGAGATTCGGTAGGCTTATGGGCTTCTCACCAAACGATTCCAAGGGATAGTGATGGAGAAGTGTTCTAGGCTTATGAGCACTCAGATTACACTTCAAGAGGAATGGAATGGAATGGGATAGGTGACACCACAAAGAGGGATGGAAAACTCTTTGATTTCGTCACTAACTCTTTGGCTAGGGCTTAGGAATCTCTCTCAAAATTGCTTGTATTTGCTCAAGACAACACGAGAATAAGAAGAACAAATGCTCCAATTTTTATTTCTGAAAAGTCTGCTGAAAAATGACATAGATGCAGCCTTTAAATAGGCTAACAAGTGAAAGGAAAAGAGGGAAATTTCGTGCAACAAGAAAAGGAAAAGAAAGATGGCGAAAATACATAAAAGGAAACAAGAATTCTGCAGCAATCTCCTTGTAACGGCTAGTGATGAATATGGCAAGAAATCAATCTCCAATTCAGCTATGGTAAGTCTTCAATTCTGCAGAAATCTAGCCAAAGCTCCCATGAATGATGCTCCAGGATTCTCTAACGGTTATGAGGGATTGGGATCAGACTTCTTGACTTCAAGAGCTTGTTGTGGCAACAAAATTCAGGTAGGGTCGTGGCTGTTCAGGTGTTCCACAACGAATGATGATGAATCAGGTGTTGGACAACAAGAGCTCAAAAACGAGCAGGCTCTTGTTGCTTAATCCGCAAGCTTCTTCGGTTCTTGGATTGTCTTCAAGGGTCTTGGCCACGAACTTGTTGATTCTTGAACGCAGGCTCCTTGCTCGTTCCCTTGTGAGTGGTGGATCGGGAATGATCGGAAAGACTGGTTCATTGGTTGTCTCTCCTTGCTTGTCCTCCTCCTTGGCTCCTTTGTGCTCCTCAGCTCCTTTGTGCGTTCCATGGTTTCCTTGCTCCGCTTGCTCCTCGTTTAGCTCATCTAAGTGGATGACCTCATCAAAACCTCCGGACTCTTCTTGAAACCAGATCGTCCTCTGAGGGCAGTCGATATAAGCCTGGTATTTCGTCAACCAATCCACGTCCAGAATGAGGTCGTAGACTCCTATGGGTACAACAATAAGATCTGCTGTCATTTTCGGCCGCATATGTCAAGGGGTACACCATGCAGAGTCCCCTGAACTGTAAGGGTTTCCCCTGCCGGTGTACGCACTGTAAAGTTACTCATCGGATTGACCTTTCCTGTACCGGTTTTCTCCACTATATCCGCGTTCACAAAACTGTGAGTCGCTCCAGTGTCAAACAATGTGTAACAGGACACCCCATATAAGTGAAGGGTACCTGCGATGGTTCTTTGTTACCTTCGTACTTTAACGGACAATGGCTACCCAGAATCAATAAATATACCATGCTAGTAGAGGTAGAAGAATACCTGCAATCGCATCTGCTTCGACTCCGTCGATGTGAACCTCCTCTTCTTGGAGCTCATACTCTGCTTCTAGGGCATAAAACCTCAGGGCCACTCCAGCTCCAGCCGCAGGTCTCGGTGGTATAGCCGCTTGCGCTTGCGGCTCTGCGGGTCTCATCGTACAATATGCCGCATAGTGTCTTGGCTGCTGGCACCGATAGCAGACAGGTGGCCCTCTCCGAGGTGGCGGAGGTAATGCCTGGGTGACTGGAGCCTTACCTTTGTCTTGCACTCGGCTGCTCTGGCCAGTCTGACCAGTCTTCCCCGATGGACGCATATAATGATGGCGTCTAGGAGGACTTTGGTCATGGGCCCTGCTGGCTCTCTCCTCCTTTTCTGCTTCCTCTGCTTTCTCCAGCTGGTCAATGCAATGGCTCAGAGTTCGGAATTCGTGGAGCGTGACTCTCCAGCGGAGTGAGGGTCGTATTCCCACAACGAAGTTAGTGATCTTCTGGCTCTCTAGGGGCACCAGATACGCCGAATGCTTAAGCATGCGTACGAATTCAGCTTCGTACTCCCTCACAGTCATGTTCCCTTGCTGCAGGTTCAGGAACTCAGAGAGGCGGCGTTCTTGATTCTGTCGGCGGTAGTATTTCCTCTCAAATTCCTCCTTGAATTCCTCCCAGGTGAAACGATGTACGTCCGGCATCTCTGTACCACATTTTTCCACCAATGTCGAGCTTGTCCAGACAAGTGATGGCTCGCTAGTAGCGCTCGATAACGTAGGGGACACTGAACATATTCCAGGTCTCGTGTGATGCATGTCATCCATTCTTCTCTAGCCTCGGGATCCAGCGATCCTCCAAACCTTGGAGTGTGCATGGCCCGTAATTCTCGAACAATAGGTAGGTAGTCCCCTGCCGCTGTCGGTGCAGGTGGCGGCGGAGGCAGGTCCTCCCCCCTAGGTTCCGGACCTCGCGCTGGGGGTGGAGGTGGGAGATGTGCCATCAAGGTTTGCATCATGGTCTCCTGGAATGCACAGAATTCATTTTGTATCTCCTCCTAAAATTCCCTAGATTCCGCAGCTTGGGGAACATGGTTGGGGACATCGTTGTCTCCCGTCGTAGACTGAGCACGTCATGGCGCCATTTCACTACACCATGGTTAAGGTAGCATTAGCAGTGACCTCAGACAATACATCGTATGTACGGTTCTTTGCAAAAATTTTCTTGGCACATTGTTTTTGAAAACATTTTCATTGTAAAAATCTTAAGGTAGTGAGGCGTTCTTTCCCGTGGAAGGAACGTTGCTCTGATACCAACAGTTGTGACACCCGTATCACTATTCTCGTCACAGGATGTACCACATGGATAAAAAACAAATAAAATAATACAAACAAAAAATACGGGAATCTTAAAACTTTTTAATATCAAACACGCAGCGGAATTAAAACAACATTCAAGTCTTAAACACTCATGTCCGAATTGAAAAGGTACAACCATACAAACATAGAGATCATCTCCCATAGTTCAAATCATACAAATAAGGAAAACCCCGTACACGATGTTGTCTCTTCGAAGTCTTTGTCACCCCAAACGTGCTACTCGTGCTCCTCGTGATCTGAAAAAAGTGAAACCACGAGGGCTAAGCACAACTGCTTAGTGAATGATCCGGGTTGGATCCGGTAAACTCGTTCCAAGCGAGAACGGTATTAAAACAATAAAACACAAAATATAATTATTCAATATTAAACATAAATGTATATCAAATACACACATCATCGTATCAATTTCCGTATGGCTTCACACCACCGGGCTAACCATAAACCCTGGTCACTTCTCATGACCAGGAGCGCCTCTGTAATACCCTGAAACCCGATTCGAATATTTAATTATTTTCGAGAATAAATAATTAAATAGAAACATTGCGTTATCATCAAAACAGGAATATACAATAACGAGAAAAAGGAACGAGAAAACATCACATACGAAGAGACGGGAAAAAGACGGAGAAATGTTGAAAATTTGCCTAGACCGACCGGTCTAGGGTGTGGATCGACCGGTCCAGAGGCGGACCGAACGGACTGAACTCGCGAAGAAAAACTGAAGAAAAGGTCGCTGACCGACCGGTCCAGAGCCAGACCGACCGGTCCGGGGAACTGACGAACATGGGACGCAAGTGGCCGAGTTGCCACTTTTAGGCCGACTTCTCTCTGCGTTTCCGGGGCCCACCGGCGTCAAATCGCTGCCCAATCCGCTCAGGGCGTTGCAGGCTCGCCCATGGGCCTGGGCTTGAGCCCCTTCCGCCTCCTTCTCGTGCTAGAAACACACTCCAAGAGAGACACTTCACCATTTTCGGACCAGAATTGCAGAAAAAGGAAAAGGGAGAGAGAAGGAGAGAGAAGCGAAAACCAGAGGGAATCGACGCAAGGGAAGCTCGGAAACACAAAGGGGGACATCCCTTGAGTGTGTAGAAGAGGTTTCCGGCGAATAACAGATTGGAAAACACCTCAAAATCCGGCCAAAAAACCAGATCTGAGCCGAAACAAGGGTGAGTGGCTCGAGTTCCATCTGTGTGAGCTCGTTCTAAGCGTGTTATTGTGTCATTTCGATGATTTTTGTTGGATTAGATAGAGGACACTTCAATGAGCATGTAGCAACTTACATGACAGAATTTGGTTGAGAAATGAGGTAGAAATGGCCAAGCAAAGTCGGACCAGAGACATGTTTTCGCGAGGAAGACGAAATCCAGGCCTCAGCCCGACCGGTCTGACCTGGGAGCCTCAGACCGATCGGTCCAGACACTGGACCGACCGGTTTGGACTCGCGGAACACCAAAACCGTAAATAGGGCTAGACCGACCGGTCTAGGTCACAGAACCCTCTTTCGGCTAATTTTCCGATTTTTCTCACGCGGTGAGTTGTGTGATCTAACGATGAGAGTGACTCGTTGTGTGATTATTCTGGGTAGTTTGCATAGCGTTAATCGGTATCTCGGTCGGGGCCGAATACCGCAATACGCGTGATTGTATTGGGAAGATATGCACGTTGATTGCCATGTTTGTAGCTCACTCGTGCGACGCAACTGAATGAGCTGGTGGAGTAGGGTTTCATTCGCCCTAGCGTCTCACTGTGGGGACACCGGTACTCTTCGTGAAAAAGAAGGATGGGAGTATGCGGTTGTGCATCGATTACCGAGGGCTCAACCAAGTGACTATCAAGAATCGGTACCCGTTACCGAGGATTGATGAGTTGCTGGACCAACTACAGGGAGCCCTGATCACACGGGTTTTTCACCGGTTTTATAACGTCATGCATCACAATTCTTCTCACATTCTAGGCATCATAGGACGTTAGATGGCCATGAGTAGGTTGTTTTGCTTGTTTTTCCTTGCAGGAAGACTCCACGATGAATCCTCACGAAGAGGGCACGGAAGAACAAGAATTCGAGAATGCTCGGGAAGCTCAGACAAAACGAGCGACCCGCCCATTTTGTGGGCGGTCGCCCGTTTTGTGAGCGGTCGCTCGCTTTTTCGCGTGTTAGAGGAAAATGAGCGACCCGCCCGAAAAATGGGCGACCCGGAAGAAAAATGAGCGACCCGCCTGAAAAATGAGCGACCGCCTGAAATCAAAATCGGCCCAAAAAGGAAATGTCCGTGTTTTGAGGAGAAAACCTAATTCTAGACTTTCATAAAAAGGGGAGTTTGAGGCGGCCAACGTCATGGACTTGACGGGCGTGCGAGAACCCTATGGTGGACTCCATACGGGTGTTGTGTTTATTGTGTCATGGACTTGACACGGCCAACGCCATGGACTTGACGGGCGTGTGAGACGCCCCTAGTCATGGAATTGACTAGGGTTATGGCTGGACCCTATGGTGGACTCCATACGGGTATGTTTGTATTTTCGTTGTGTCATGGACTTGACATCGGAGGTCACGCGAGTGACAGACGTAGGAGACGCGCGTAGTCGCATGTGATGCGATGGCCAACGTCACGCGAGTGACGGACGTGTGTGAGACGTTTCTAGTCATGTTGATATGACTAGGATCTTCGCTGTCGGTGCAGGTGGCGGCGGA